CTCTCTCTGCTCTCTCCCTCTGGAGAGAGTTTGGAGGGCTTGTTCATCATCAGTGAGGATGTACACACTAGCAGTATCAGAGGGGTGGATTATACAGTGTTATGATTCACAGAGGTGAATCTCTCAGCCTGAGGTGATCAAGGGCTCTGTCCTCAAGGGATACCATGGGGGCTGGTACCAAGCTCAGGTGGATTTGTTATTAGCAGTGGCACAGAAGGGGAAAATGTTACAGACTGGGATGCATATTTAAGTTTGGGTGATCTGTAGGTGAGGACCTGAACATTTAATGTGGTTACTTGATAATGTGAGATCTTAAACATCAGACTAAATAATTTGTACTTATTGAAGTTTTGCCTACCTTTCATACTCAGCATATTTTTGTATAAACTTGCATCCAAAGAACAAAATACAGATTTGTAATCAGTGTTTCTATTACAGCATCTAGAAACTTTATGAAATGAATATTTAATCAGATATGAATTAAAGTCCAAAAGCAAATGGGTCATAAACAACATGGATTTGAGTTCTCATAAAATGTCATTAGATCTGGCAACCTGAGGAACAGTTTTCCTGGAAGCCAAACTGCAAGGTGTCAGAGACAGTCTGTGATGAAAGGCAGCAACTGAGTTCAAGGCAGGTTTTGTGATTGAGAATAGCAGTATTTTAGTGATGGAGCCTGTGGTAGAGGGTTGAATAGCTGAGAGAAGATGGTTGAACAAAGCCCATCTGAGGCCCCAGTAGACAGAATTAAGAGGACAGGCACTTCAACTGAAAGAATTTCGAATTGATGGTGAAGTACAGCCTGCATTCGTCCCATGAGCTAACAGTATTATTTCTTTGGGGAAGTAGAGAGCTTTGTGATTTCAAGACACCATTCTGGCACAGACCACCCCATTACAGTTGAAAAGAGGGGACCTCCTAGATAGATTGGAAATATCATGACTAGTTTAATGATTCATGTCAAATGTGACTCAGACTATCTGTGGGCTATATTTAAATATATAGATATAGGTATAGGTATATATTAAAACCACAGATTGAGAAATTTCAGAGCTTTCTGGGTCCTTGGCAAATCTAAAACTTGGACCAAACTAGGTCCAATAAAGGATGACCAAACATTGCTACTGACTGGAGCTGATGTACAAGTTGCTACTTAAATGGGGCTGAAGCTCTCCAGTCCAGTGTGGTCTCCACCACTCTTCACGTCTTGCTAAGTTTGAGATAGTTATCTATCAGCTTTTCTAAATTACGCTTTTGTGTCTGTAGTCTCAGTAAATGGGAAAATAAAGGTAGCAAAAAGATTTCAGAAAACTGAGATCAAATATTTCTTCAAGGACTGCATTTTGTGAAGATATAGATTATTTTTTAATATATATATTTTAATTTTATGTATATGAGTGTATTGCATGCATGTAGGTAGGTGCACTGGTGTCATGCAGTGCCCACAAAGGTCAGAAGAGGGCATCAGATTCCCTGGAACTGGAGCTGCAGATGGTTGTTAGCCACCATGTGGGTGCTGGGAATTGAACCCAGATCCTGTGCAAGAGCAGCCAGTGCTCTTAACCACTGAGCCATCTCTTCAGCCCCATCAGGTGTAGTGTAGATTATTGTAGGCAGAATGCATCTTGAGGGTTATCTGACTTTGATAGGCTTTTGAATTTGCAAGCCCTCATTGTAGAGTAGAGCCCTTGATTTCATTCAACAACTCCTAGAAATAGCAATTTCCTTCCATACTGACACTGAAAAAGCGAGCATTGGGCTAGTGTGATTTGATGCCTGTTCATTGTGTTGATCTGTCTGCTGTCACTTAGCACTTATCTGAGACAGTCAACTTAAAGAAGTTAAGGTCTGTTGTGGCTTTGGCTGTTGGTGGTTCGGGGCTTGAACCATTGCTTTTGGACATGTGATGGCACATCATGGTGGCTGAGTATGGTGAAACCATTTACCTCATGGTCAAGAATGAGAGAAGAGACGAAGTAGCTGGAATTCCACAGACCTCTTTGGGTGCATGCCCCAAATGGCTTGACTCCCTCCTGCTAGATCTTGCCCCTCTTGAGGTTTCCACTTTCTTGAGATCCTGTTACTCCGGGGAACAAATTTTTAAAATGCCTTTGTGGGACTTTGCAGTTTCCTACTGCAGCAGCATTGTGACACCAGTTCCTTCTGATCTAAGGACTGGGTCAACAGATGCCTGACGAGCCCAAAAAGCCAAATCATCAACATGCCTAAAGATATTAATGTGTTTTTTTTTAAGTATTATAAATAACATGCTAACAGAAATGACAAAACTGTTATTTGTTTAAAGGTATATATTTAATAAACACTTTAAAATTGCTGTGACAGGGCTGGGGAGATGGCACGGTGGGCAAAGGGCCTGCTGCACAAGTATGAGGACCTGAGTTCAGATCTCCAGCACTATCATAAAACCTAGGCACAGTGGTGCGAGTCTCTGATCCCAGCACTGGAAGAAGGGGGTGCTCAGAGACAAGCAGATCCCTGGAGCTCATTGGCCAACCAGCACAGTTCAGCCAATGAGCTCCACATTCAGTGAGAGACCCTGTCTTTAGAAAACAGGTGGACAGGCTGGAGAGATGGCTTAGTGGCTGCTCTTGCAGAGAACCTCGGTTTGGTTTCTAGCACCTACATGGCAGCTACAACCATCTGTAACTCCAATTATAGGGATTCCAATGCCCTCTTCCGGCCTCCATGGGCATTGCACAATGGGTGCATAAGCAGAACATGCACATAAAAATAAAGTAGCTGGGCATGGTGGCCCACACCTTTAATCCCAGCACTTGGGAGGCAGAGGCAGGTGGATCTTTGTGAGTTCAAGGCCAGCCTGGTCTACGTAGTGAGTTCCAGGACAGCTGGGGCTACAGGGAGACCCTGTCTCAAAAAGACCAAAATAGATGACAGAAAGATAGATGATAGATAGATAGATAGATAGATAGATAGATAGATAGATAGATAGATAGATAGTTCAAGGCCATCCTTAGCTACATAGCTATTTTGAAGCAAGCCTGGGCTACAAGAAACCTGTTTTAAAAAAACTAGGAGGAGAATGACAGGAGAAGATATCCAATGTTGATCTCTGGCTTCCACCTACATGCACACATGTGTGCAAGCACACCTGTACTCACACATGCACACCGACATGAACACATACATGCACTGTATATATACATACATAAACAAACACAAACATGTACATACATCGCTGTAAACCCAATTCTGTGCTATTTACTAGTTGCTCTTTATATTTTTTCTTTTTTCTTAAAGTAACCAAATCTTTGCTCTTGGTTTCCTATTTATTTTTTAAAATCACTTCTTCTGTTAATTAGTGACCCCTTCATATGTTATGAATATTAAGGCTGTCTTTTGCACAGATTTTCTTCTGGTCTTTCAGTTGTCTTTTACCTTTTTCTGTGCCAAATTTTACAGCCTATAAATATTTTACTTTTAAACATAGCCAAACATATGAATTATTTTAGTTTTACCTTGAGTTTGTCTTTGTAGTCCCCAAAATCCAAATTACTGAAATTAAT